ACCAATATAGTGTTTTTTTAGGGATGTGATATTTTATTTAATTATCAATATTAAATTTATTAAGTAATTAATTTAAAATAAATGCCAGAGTGTTTCATTTGTAATCAATGATGGATTTAGACGGGAGCGGATGCAGACGATATTCCCTACAAAATTAAAATTATCATATATTTTAATTTTTTTATATATTTTTTATTAAAAATATTTTTCCGGGCCCTAGAATTTTATAACTTCGAGTTTGCCCTTCCTAAAATTTTATAACTTCGAGTTCACTCCTTACATAAAATCATGCGTATGTCCCTATTTGTAACGATGATCATTTCAATTCAATTTAATTTATTCTTAATGTTAAAATACGAATCTATACTTTAATGATGCATATATTTTTTTCATTAGATCAATTAGTTGTTGTATATTTATTAAGGACTTTGAAACTTTGTTAAATGATGCAAAAATTATAAAATAAAAAAAAAATTTAAACTACAAAAGTACTATATATATATATTTGAATAGCTCAAAAATAATATAAAATGTTGAGATTCTCTTGAAATCAAAATTTATTAAAAAAAAATCAATATTTATATACAGAAGACCGCATGATTATGATTATTATTATTATTACAAAACTAGGTGCTCTATGTAGTAAAGGAGAGAGGATACAATGTGAAAAGGGGAACAATCAGATAAGCCAAGTTCTAAAGTCCCAAAAACACGTTTCAAACTCGGATTGGCTAAAATAACAAAAAGTCCCAATCAATGACAACAGTAATTTGACTTTACATGAATTTAAAGCACGACAGCTCTCTCACAGAACAATCCACCACTTCATTGCACGACAAAACACTATCCCCCACAAGTAAACTGTGGGAATTAAATTAAATTATTACTTCTTAAACATAATATAATCCTAATCAAATATTAACTCATTTTTTATAGTTTAAAATTTATATTTTGTTTTTATTCTCTGAGAAGTATTCCAGGAACTTTACCAGGATCTCTCTTTCTCCATTATTTTTCTTCCTCTTTCTCTAAAAGAACTTTCCCATGAAGTTCCTCTGTTTTCTTGATCTTCTTTCTCTGTGTTTGTTCGAGATTGTTTTGTTATTTGATTCAGTTTTGACCTTTGAATCTTTCAGCTGTTGGGGGTTTCAAGTGGATTTGGTTTATGCGTTTTGATTTTTTTGGGGGGTTTTCGTGTTTTCAGAGTTTGGGTTTAATCATTGAGCTTCTTTAGTTAATGTGAATTTTAGTGAGAAACTGAGCAGAGAGCTGGTAGGTGGCCTAAAGCTTTACTAAAAGCTAGCTTTACTGGCAGATGAAAAAATAGAAAGAGATAGCTGAAAGAAGCAAAGCTCTGAAAAGAAGAAATAATCGAACTTTGTGAATAAAAAAGATACTCCTTTTTCTTTGAAAGTTATGCCGGTTGAGTTAGATAATTCCTCCACCGCTTCCGGCGGTGAAGCCAGCGCCTCTTCCTCCGGTAACCAAACCCACCTCCCAAATCCACCGTCAAGAAGAAACGTAACCTCCCTGGCATGCCAGGTACCACGAAAATCAACTGACCATTAATCAATAAATAGGCAAACCCTTTTTTAACCTGTTACTGATTGGATTTTTTTTGGGTTGCTGCAGATCCAGATGCGGAGGTGACTGCTTTATCTCCGACAACTTTACTGGCGACAAACCGATTCGTTTGTGAAATTTGCAATAAAGGGTTTCAAAGGGACCAAAACCTCCAGCTTCATAGACGAGGCCATAATTTGCCATGGAAGCTTAGGCAAAGATCGAGTAACGAAGTGAAGAAGAAAGTTTATGTTTGTCCTGAGCCGACTTGCGTTCATCACGATCCATCGAGAGCTTTGGGCGATCTCACAGGAATTAAGAAACATTTCTGCAGAAAACATGGAGAGAAGAAATGGAAGTGCGATAAATGTTCCAAAAAATACGCTGTTCAATCCGATTGGAAAGCTCACTCTAAGATTTGTGGTACTAGAGAGTACAAATGTGATTGTGGAACTGTGTTTTCCAGGTGCTGAAAACAATCTTAAGATCGGATTAACAAAATTGCATCTTTTGTGGAATTGATTTTTGATTTTGTTTTTTGTTTGGTTTGGCAGGAAGGATAGTTTCATTAACCACAGAGCTTTCTGTGATGCATTAGCAGAGGAGAGTGCTAAAACCCCACCGCCACCTGAGCCTCCCAAAAAGAAGCAGAATCAGGCTGATGCCGGTTCCAAATCGGATTCCGACCCGAAATCTCTAGCGGCGGAGCCGGAGCCAGCAAAGGCACCGGTACCTTCGGCTGCAGCTTCAGCCGCACCAGCAATGCCTCAGTCAACTAGTTTGATATCTTCTTCAGTTTTTCCTATTAAAAGTTCTGGTAAGCTTTTTATCTATGTTACCAAATTTGGAAATTTTCGATCTTGTTAGTTGCGATTTTGTTGTTATTATGTCTTTGGATTAATCTTGGAACATATTAGGTTTTTGTCTGCTACTGATCTTGTTGTTTTCTTGAGGTTTTAGCAACTTAGCTTGTGAGACTCCGATTTGTAGTTTTTTATATATTACCAAACTGGTTCAAAAGCTAATGGGTTTAATGAGAAGGAAATTATTATTGATTCTTCTTTTCCACTCTAAAGTTCTTTCATAAAGAGCAATCTTTTAACTTTACATGCCACTATGCTTTAGATTTTTGAAGTCTGGTCCCTTCAATGTTTTTTTACACGCCATTTATGCGGTTTTTTGTTGCAGATTTGTCTGAAAATCCCATTCCTACCGTGCAAGGAGCTTCGGTTCGGGCGCCGGCACCAGCCAGTGTGAATGTAAACTGTAGCAGTAGCACTGGATCAGTCAGCAATAGCAGCAGCAGCATGTTTGCCAGCTTATTTGCACCCTCAACTAAATCTGCTAGCTTACAACCTCAGGCTTTCACCAACTTATTTCAATCTATGAGTCGACCAGATCGTCCGGCTGACCTTGCACCTTCTACATCTGCCGAACCGATTTCTCTATGCCTCTCAACCAACCATGGTTCATCAATATTCGGTACTGCAGGGCAAGAACGCAGGCAGTACGCCCCACCACTGGAACCTGCTATGTCCGCCACAGCGCTACTGCAGAAAGCTGCTCAGATGGGAGCAGCAGCGAGCAACACATCATTGCTTCGTGGTCTCGGTATTGTTTCGTCTTCATCTTCTGCCCAACACGATAATTTGCAATGGGGTCAGAGACAAGTTGAGCCCGAGAATGCAGCAGGTCTTGGACTTGGACTTACTTGTGATGGAAGTTCAGGATTAAAGGAATTGATAATGGGAACTCCTGTATTCAGTCCTAAACAAAGCACTCTTGATTTCCTCGGGTTAGGGGTGGCTGCCGGTGGCACCCCCAATCGTGGCCTCCCAGCTCTTATTACCTCCATTGGAGGTGGACTCGATGTATCTGCAGCAGCTGCATCATTCGGAGGTGCAGATTTTACCTTTAAGGATCTCGGAAGGAGCCCATAAGTAGGGAGAAACAACTACTATTCCTTGAAAAACATACACTGTACAGATCGTAACTTATAATTCTCCTAAAGAAGTGCCATTGCTGATGTTACCAGCAAGCCATCCAAGAGGCAGTTGGGGTGTTTCTTTATGAACAATGGCGAAAACAAAAACATAAACGGACTTTGTTGTAGCAGTAGTAGCCTTAAGGTGAAACTCAAAAGACTAGACCATATGTTTTTAGGACATTGTCTGTCTTGCAAGGAGATTTGACATTCTTTGTGTCTGGTTTATGAGCTTGTAAAGATTTTTAGTTGCAGACATTGATGGTGGAAAATTAGGCTACTTTTGGGCTGATTTTATGATCAGTGGGGGCTGGATTAGAGTTCCACTTTGTTATTTATATTTGCAAATTAATTTAAATTTGTAGCCATATGATTCCATCAAGCTATGCCTTGATATTTTGAGGAAGTTTTTTTTTTTTTTGAGGAAGTTAATGCTCTGAGATGGGAAGGTGGAGTCATCACTGAAGAATTCAATGGACCACAGAGAAAAGATAGCAATGTTCAAAAATGGATATAACATTGGGGTCCCCCACCACCATTTTTCATGCCCTAATGTTCATCTATTCCATCTACAATTTTCAATGTAAGTTGTTGGTTCGTGAAACAAAATTTTAGTACAAAGGTAGGACCAGTTTGTCAAAATTCCATTATGATTCCTTTAATTAACACTTGTGCCTAAATTTTACTATGAAATGGGAAATGGGAAAAACAGTCAAATGAAGATTGTTAAGCTATGGGCTTAAAAAATGCATGTCCTTTTCAGGATGGATTACAATACTGTTGTGGTATATATCCAAAATGATACCAGTTGGGCGTTAGGGTTTGGGATCCCAACGCTTTGCATGATCTTCTCCATTGGTTTGTTCTTCATTAGAACGAAAATTTTCGTGTACATAAAAGTTAAAAAAAAAGATCTATTAATTGATCAGTGATTAAAGATATTCATGTTATTATTTTTTGTGAATTTAAATTTTAACATTTTACCTTATATTTTTCAAAATAGTAGATTCAGAAATATTTTTTAAGATAAACACATACGTTATCAACATAAATTTTTAAATGGAATGAGTACAAATAAAATTTTAAGATCAACATTATTCGTAAAATAAATAACTAATCAAAGAAAATTTAAATTTTAAGGTAGATACAAAAAATTTCAAAGTGAACATTATTAATATAATAAGTAACTATTAAAAAAATTTAAATTTTAGGCAAGACTCCGCCACTTACTTTTCTACTTAATCAAAAAAAAAAAGTTAAAGAAAGTATTTTCACTGTGGTTATGCCAATCAACGGGTTTGTTACATATTAGATAAATGATGGATTTATTATAAATAGATAATATAGTGATCAAATAATTACTTTTAAAACATTAATGAAAAAGATAAAAGTATTTAAATATTAGTAATTATTTATGTAGTTTATACTTTTTTAAATTGTTTTCATAACTCCAAAGCTCCGAGAAGGTGAGAAGTACTCGATAAACTTTTAGCGGTAATTAAAAGAGGAAAAATAGTGGTTAATTTGGATTCTCTTCTCTACATTCTACAGTGGCTTTGCTCGGACCGGATCTATGCAACGAGGTTCGTAGCCAACTTCTCTTTTCATCTTATTTTTTCGGTTTATTTACCGTTTTTCGTTTGATCATTCTTTAGGATCTGCTTATGATAGAGCGATATATGCTCTAGCTGGAATTTAGTTTAAATCTGAATAGGTTTGGCATCCTGAGCATTAGAAAGATCTAAAATCAGATTATGAACTGATTAATTTCCCGTTTATGTGAAAATCAGCGGTTAAATCACTCACTATTGGATTAAAGCATAAAGAAGTTGGACGAAATTTATTGATTTTGATGTTTCTTAGTTATTAATCTGAGTTTTTAGAGAGTTTGAGGAGCTTTTGAAAATAAATAATATATCATCTTTTTTTCTTTTGTGGATTATACAATTTTGCTATAACTATAGGGAATGGAATATGTTTCATTTCTTTGTCTGGATCATGCTCATTGTTTTTGTGCAAAGTTCATTTGAAATTCTGGTTTTATAGAGAACGCATATGTTTCTTATTTGGTTTAATCTATGGTTTTGAGTTTTGATTAATGATAAAATACTAGACTGGATTGAATTGATGGACTGCTGTTTTCTGGTTCAACCGGCCTAAAGAGATTTAACAATAAATGCATTATTTTAATATTGAATAACTATTTTTTTAAGGTTAATATTGAACAATAAATCGTACTGGAGGTTAAATTGGTGGGATGCTGGGTTTTGATTCAACTGACCAGAAGAGGATTAAGCATACGTTCATTGTTTTAGTGTCGAATAGGTATTACGTACAGTAAATATTTAAACAAAAATTCATTTGGTTCAATTAGTTTGCTGAAACTAACTTATTGACATTTATTGAACTGGATAGGCCACTAATCCTCGGTTCAATCACTCTGATTAACCTGTCTAATCCAATATATTTTTACTGGTTTTGATGCTTGCTACATTGATTTATGGTTACATGTTTAACTTGCTTCTGAATGGTTTGCATACCATGTAATGTAGGTTGGGTTACGGTTGCTCCTCTGGCCACTTGGTTCCAACATTGTTACTCGTGCAGCATGGTGTGTTATTGAATCTAATGCTTGTCTTTTGGTTTCATGTTTGACATGTTTTCAGATTTTTCAAGTTAATATGTGATAAATTATTGAATGTAAAAGTCGGTTACTCCTGCATCAATGAAATCACCTTTTGTGTATATCCATATAATTTCTCTCTCTCTCTCTCTCTCTCTCTCTCTCTCTCTCTCTCTCTCTGTGTGTCTGCGAGTGCGTCTCTGTCTATGTTGCAGCTGCCTGTGGGAGTAGTTTTACCTGTATACTCTACATTTAGGGCAATCGAAAGGAACAATGAAAGAGAGCAGAAAAAGTGGCTTATATATTGGACAGGTTGGCAAATTGTTATTTTGTTTTTCACTTTTAATTTGCAATCCTAGTCATTTGTTTAAATCATGAACTTTAATCATCTCGCCTTTACTAATTTCGGTCTTCCATATTCTTAAATAAAATTTTACCTGGTTGTTCCTAACACTGCTGTTTCTTGCGAGGATGAGTAAATTTGTCTGTCAATTGCTTTATGTAAACTTGAAGCCCAAATGTTTCATTGTTAAGATAGATAGTTGGCTTGCTAAACATGATTGTGCACAGCTTCCATTGACCTCAGTATTTCCTAGGATTGGACACCATTTTTTGTTTAAAAAAAGGCTTAGTAAGAGCGAATGTGGCTTTCTTACCTCTTTCCCTCTTATAAGGGAGATGGGGCAGGCCATTAAAAAGTCCATGTAATAAATTAACGATTTAAATCTCACTGGGAAATAAAAAAAGGTACGAGCTGTAGAAAGAGATTATTAACGATAAGGATAGAGGTAATCATTATGCTTTTGCTGTATAATAATTTAAGGTCCGTTAACTGCATTTGACTTTTCTTTTTTGCTCGTGTTCTTTTTCAAATTTTCTGCCATATGGAAATGGTGAAGGCTTTGGTTTATGTTGATGGTACCGATTAATTTGAATTTTGAATGAACCGTCAAAAAATTGAATGAAAATATGGTAGTGCATGACCATGTCATTATTGCAGCTTATGGATCTTTCACCCTTGTTGAAACGTTCTCTGACAAACTTCTTTCCTGGTAACATTTGACATCTAGTGTTTTCATTCCTAACTATTTATGATTGTGAACTGTCTAATATTCCTTTATGCATCATCTTACATGACTTTCTATATTACTCGATATTTGTTCCCTTTTTTTTCTTCAGGTTTCCATACTATTATCACTTCAAGTTTGCATTTCTTATCTGGCTTCAACTTCCATCTACTGAAGTAAGTTCAAAATCATGTTTGTATATACATTTATGCCAAAATCCAGGGTAGTGAGCGTGCTGAGTTTTTATAATTATTTTCTATATTGTTTTTCTGTCTCGTCTTTGGATCTTCCGACAAGCCACTATATGGTTCTGAGGCATTCCGTCCTTTTATGGTTAGGGTTCACCAAGATAATGTATTAACTCTGTTTCTTTTTTTCGGGACACTAGATGAGTAACATAGAACTTCCATCCTATAATAGTTTTCTTTTAAGTGGTTTGTTCATATAGAGCTAAAAGTAATACATGTGTTATTGTCACACTTGTTTCAAATTGCACTTCTGCTTTTGTTTGAAACCATTTTCTAAATCATATTTTGACGGCCATTATTCATGGTAAGAAATTGGTTTTAACAGGGGGCTAAGCAAATCTACAAGAACCACCTGCGCCCTAACTTGCTGAAACATCAGTCTAGAGTTGATCAACTTATGGGCTTTGCAAGTGCCGGAATGGTATATTACCACCCTTTATATTATTAACTTAGACCATGGTTTTACATGGCTCTTGCTTCGATACCTGCTGTTGCGCCACCTATTCATATGTCACCCTCAAATTCCTAAAGGAGATGTAGATATAGTTTTGCATTGCTCCTTGTGTAGGCAAGATTCATCAGTGCTCACCAAAAAGAGTTCCGAATTTTCCGGGCAGTACTGATGAGGATTTTAGGATCAGGTGAGCGGGCAGGATACTACGTAAACTGCTAGCTTATTTGCCTCTTGCCCTACTTTCACATGCATCAGGCTAAAACTAATAGTTACTACGGCAGCAGACCCAAACGTGAGTGGTGGAACAGAACCTACTGAACCGAGAGAGCTACCTGCAATTGATGGCCCCGCAAGGACGATCGCAGATCAAGAATCTGATGATGAAGACTACTAGTTTGTGTTCCCCAAAGGCGAGACCTGCAAGTTATTAACCTCGCTTTCTCTTGTTAAAGTCTTTTATGATAAAATTTATCCTTCAACCTCCTTGAAGAGGTAGAAGCATGAGACATAGGCAGCATCCTTAATATTTATGGAATGATATGTGATTTTCTGCACCTATTTTTTACAGTATGAAAACAGCTCATGCATGTTTGTATCCTTTCTGAATTAATTAAGCAATTAAGTCTTTGGCCAATTGGGACAGAGAATTGTAGGATGAACCAGCATGCCTTTTGTCAACACCTTTTCACCGTCGTTCAATTCCTTGACATTGTTACTTATCGCATGCCATGCCTTGTCGACCATGATCTTTCTCGCCGCCGACGTTTTCAGTCAAACAGTCATCCCAGAATCCTATTTTAGCAGGCAACATTCATCCTTTGCTCCATATGAAACGGTACACCCAGAAACCCTTGGTAGTTGATGATGTTACTTATATTTGAACTAGAAACATAGATTTTAAATTAGACGATTAACATTTAGATTTGTTGACTTTAGAATTTAGATTAGAATGTTCAACATTGAGCCCGACTAATTGTCCTCGTTTAATAAGGGTCAGAAATGAAGTTATTGTCTATGAATCGAAGTTGTCTTAGCCCTACATAGAATGATAGAAATGCATTTCTCGTGGAAGGGACCGTCAACGCTTATTTATAATGAAGATTGACCTACACAACCTCAAAATAAGGATGATAAACGGGCGGGCATGTGCGGATTCTTCTTCGCCATCCTTGTACCCATTTAATATTTTCGCATTCACCACTTATCTATCACTCATGAGAAGTAAAATATTTAAATCTATATGTCCACACGAGTATATTCTCAAATTCACTCAACATCTATTATCCAATGGGATACCCACCACCTATCTCGTACCTGCTTGTACCTGTTTATACTCGCCTAGCAGCAACCTCAGAGATTATATGACATGTCTGTACCTGTCCATACTCACCTAGCAGCAACCTCAGAGATTATATAAGTAACAAAATCTAAAACAAACTCATCCATTAAGAAGCATAATAAAATCACTAAGGATTAATTGAGTTTATACCCTAATATTTGGTTAAATTACAAGTCATGTCCTATAAAATTTTAAGATTTATAGAATGGTATATGAAATTATACCTAAATTCATAATGATTCAGAATTTATATGGGGGACAATTAATAGAGGCGGATGCAGAGTGCACATATGCATAAGAAAATATATTTCAAACCCAACACATTTTCATCAACAAACCAAACATTTTTAGTCAAACCTTGGACAGTGCCATTGGAAATGTCTCTCGGGTTTGAAGAAGATGGCATTATTAATCGCATTCCAAATAGAAGCATGAGACAAGTATCCCAACCTGTGTTTCACGAGGATCGATATTGCTGCTCCGAAAGACAAAGGACTGGCTTTTGCAGTCTTCTTTGCCCCTCTCTTTCGATGTTGTTTTCCACACTCTCATGAATGTATTCTTATTTACCAAGAGATATAAATATATCTTACCAAACTTGAATTGTCTGTTGAAAGGCAATTTTATTGTTAGCAATTCAGTAGATAGTTATAACGTGGTTAGGAATGTTAGCTTATGTATATAAATATACCATTGTAATTGTAAATTAAATGAATATGATGTTTTAGGTCTGTGTTCTTGTATTATATGAGTAAAAAATATTTAAAATAATTTTTACTATTTTATTTGTCTTCCAAGTGGCCTGATTGATATGTTGGTGACAGATTGAAGCGTCGGCGGTCGGTGTTATAGCGAGAGCAGTAACGGCTCGGCTACTCGACATCGGGCTAGGCTACGGCGAGGCATAACCCTAGGGTTCCTGCAATCTTATCTTGATAGTTTGATCAAGGTAAGATCCAACGGCTGAGGGCAATGAGCGGCTGTGTGATAAGTTAGAAGCCCTAGTTGTTGGGTTGATCCATCTTGGGCTTTCAGTTTGGGCTGCTTGTTTAAATTTGGTTTAGGCCATTGTTTGAGCTCCAGGTCTTGTAATTGGGCCTGCAAAAGATATAAATATAATAGTAAATGTAAAAAGTTTTTATAAATTCGAACAAAAATGGGTGTCTATAACAATCGATATTTTTTATTCTTGCTCTAACTTTTATATCATGTCTTTATTATTTGTTTTTTTTAGTTTTTAATAGTTATGTCTTTATGGCACCATTTCTTCTGCATTTATGACATGCTTGTTTATACCTTTATGTCACGTTTTCAATCGTTTGGTCGTTATTTTAGTTTATCTTTTTTTTCTCAAGGATATATTTGACATCGTTATGACTGATCAAAATGATATTTATTTGTTATTATGTTAATATTTCCTGCTTTGGACCATTGAATTGGATTTGAATACGTAATTTGCTTTCGTGAATTGGACCATCGATTTTAATTTATGGTTTATCAATGGTCTTTTATTAGTTTTATCATTTTTGTGGTTTGTTTAGCAATGGAGTTAGATCTGTTTGTATATATCTTTTGTTCGAATTTTTTTAGTTATGTTTTTAATATTTTACTTGTATGACCCTTATGTGATATTAAATTACTAGTTTTTATATTACTAATTATAAAAAATCCTAATTATGTGACTAATCTACGTTTATGGTCATAAACATTCATTATAACTTTCGGTATGTAATTTTTATAATAAAACTCATTAATCCTATAAAAATATATTTATTCTTATAAAATACTTTTGTTCACCTACATTATCACGAGTGTGACAAAATTTAGTCTAATGCAATCTATTTAGTAAGATAATCAATATTAAATCTGTTTTTTTAATCAATAAATGATTATGTTTATATATATAAAAGAAATTTAAATAATGATTATTAAATTATTATCTTTTAATAGTACGAGATGATTATAAAAATAATATTTATTTAATTTTTTAATATATTATAATATATACCTATAAATATTGCTATTCGAATTTAAAATTTCTTAAAAAATCAATATTCTTGAAAATACGTGACCGTTCATACTCAAAAAACAATTAAACATTAAGATTGTGATGTCGAGTTATAACAGAAGTGGAAGAATAATTGCGAAAGCAATTTCTTTTCGATGTGCATAAAACGTGATTCTGCATTGTAATCTGTCTAATAAATGTCAAAGCCACATCTAATATGTCTAATATGGTTATATATATATATCTATTCAGAAAAGTTATATATATATATGGTATGAATTACAAAAGATACCATTTGCTAAGTTACCCAAATTCAGAAATCTTATCTTTGTCCTGTTTGCTGCTGATTGGCTGATATTAGAACTATTGCAAATCCACTTCCAGTGCCATTCTCCTTCCACCAATTCATCTTTGGTAAGCTCTTAATTGGAGCCGTTTGTATTTGGAGAGTGGAAGGCAAATTGTTTTAGAATTTCCCATTTTTGGCTGAATCCTTAAACTTCCTACCATTTTCGCTCAAAATCCCTCCTTTTAATAGGAAAAACCCGATCTTTCAGTCACCCCAGAGTGAAAAAGAAATGGATTCGGTGAATCTGGGTTCTTTGGTTCAATCTTACTCCATTTTCAACCAAGCTTCCAGATCCAAGTCTTCTCCTTTACCCAGATCGTTTCCCTTGAATCCCTTGAAGAATCTTTCATCTTCAACCCCCCAAGTCCGATGCTTTACATCTGTTCCTTCGATTTCATCGGTCCTTACAAAAGAAGACACCGTCAAGGAAGAGGAAAAAGAGCCTCAAACCCCAAGCTTTGATTTCAAATCCTACATGGTTCACAAGGCGAACTCGGTTAACCAAGCCATGGATTCAGCTGTTTCGCTTCGTGACCCTGTTAAAATCCACGAAGCAATGCGCTACTCTCTTTTAGCAGGCGGCAAAAGGGTCCGTCCCGTGCTTTGTTTAGCCGCCTGTGACCTCGTTGGCGGCCAAGAATTCATGGCTATGCCCGCCGCATGTGCCGTCGAAATGATCCACACCATGTCTTTAATCCACGACGATCTTCCTTGCATGGACAATGACGACCTCCGTAGAGGAAAACCGACTAATCACAAGGTTTTCGGTGAAGATATAGCTGTATTAGCAGGGGATGCTCTTTTGGCTTTTTCTTTTGAACACATAGCTGTTGCCACTGTTGGTGTTACGCCTGGTAGAATCGTGAGAGCAGTTGGGGAATTAGCTAAATCCATTGGGGCTGAAGGGTTGGTGGCTGGTCAAGTTGTGGACATCACAAGTGAGGGGCTAACCGATGTGGGATTGGATCATTTAGAATTCATCCATGTCCACAAAACCGCTGCTCTGCTTGAAGCGGCTGTTGTTTTGGGGGCAATTCTTGGAGGTGGATGTGACGAAGATGTGGAAAAGTTGAGGAAATTCGCAAGGAACATCGGGCTTTTGTTTCAAGTTGTGGATGACATTCTTGATGTGACAATGTCATCTAAAGAGTTAGGGAAGACTGCAGGGAAAGATTTGGTTGCTGATAAGGTCACCTACCCAAAGTTGATGGGGATAGAAAAATCAAGGGATTTTGCAGAGAAGTTGAAGAATGATGCATTAGAGATGCTTCAAGGATTTGATCCTGAGAAATCTGCACCCTTGATTGCCTTAGCTAATTATATAGCTTACAGGCAAAACTAGGCTGCCTATTGTGTTTTATTAAAAAAATAACCATTAGAGAAAGAATCAGTTGAGTAGTATTAATAGTCTTCTACAATGATGATAAAAGATGAGAATTTCCTTAGTGTTGTAAAACTCTCATCAAATCCTAGATTTAATTGTTGAACTTATTCAGTTCTTCCTCAATTGATTACTGTTCTTACGAGTTCTTGGAGTTTGTATGTGGAACTTGGAACTTTGTATCAATTTTTTTATGTATCTTGGTATAAGGATTGTCAATCAATGCAAGCATGCTTCTTTGTGATGTTGAAACTGTTAACAAATGGTCTTTGATTCGCTATATTAACCGGAGATGGATGCGAGTGTCTAGTTATTAGAATGTTAGTAGAATTAGTTAATATTTGTTATTTTGTTATTAGGTAGTTACACTTTGGTTATCAAGCCTCCTATTGTAATGGTAAAGCAAGATCTATTTGTAATTCATTTTCTACTGTTATAAAAAAAACCTAATACTCTTCCATTTACTTGTTTTCACCTATTATCTTTCACTTTTCTATTAAGTACTATCGTCTAGCAATGTACGACCATTGTGTCAGAGTCTCAAGATTTCATCATGATATCTGTAACACCCCAACTCGTATCTAACTCGAATACAAATCTGAGGTGTCACATTGACTTTTAAACTTTTGACTCTTTTAAAATACGATTTAAACTTGACAAGGAAAACAAAACTTAATAAATCATAGTTAAAAATACATATAAGAGCATCTAAAATTTACATTTATAGTACATGCTAATAACATTCCCAGAACACAATCACATACATTTCAAATTTCTCTGATCTGATAATCTTCAAAGGTATGTTGTTCTGCCCCTTATATACTCGGCTTACTCCTCGCATACCTTTAAATAAAAAGCTTTAGTTTTCGTATACTCTGAATAAAAAAATTAGTATTCTTACTGAAGTCTGATAGTTAAGCAACAGAGCATATGATGTTTGCTAAACCCCAGAACCCCAAAGATCAAATAAAATAATCGCATACAGTTCATTTGACTTTGCTGGCTTCAAAACCAGATGCCAATTATCAACTCAATAAACTAAATTCCAACAATTGAGCCAGGAAAACACAAGAATTGGAGGTTTGGGAATCACCTGAAAGAAGTGTAGCTAAAGAATTCGACACCCAAACACATGAAAAGGAGAGAAGCTGAGGAGAAAATGATTTGTCCCAAACGAAGAGCCAAGCTAGCGATAGTTCCCAACGCCCCTGGCACCTGCTCCATCACAATCATCTTTCATGTCTCGGTTTCTTCATCTTCAATTTCCCCAACAAGAAATCCAAAATTCTGGAGAATTATGTTCACAAAAAAGGTTCTGGCTTTGGGTTTGTTTCCTATGATGAAGAAATTGGAAGAGAGGGGGGAACAGATGGAATTGCGTTTTAGCTAAAAACAGCATTATATTATTTCACATACTTTCATCCATGTCTTTTTCGTAGTACTGTTGTCTTTCTTCTTGTATTTTTAGATAACAAAGTCAAATGTAAATGTTAAAAACAAAGAAAAACGAATAATTTAGTTTGACAAGTTGATTTGAGTTGAATAATTAGAACCACAGAAAATGGGTTAGCAGGCCAGACACTTGGAACCCTACAAAGAAGTGTGTTCAAGAGAGAACCAATTCCTTTGAATAGGCTTTACTTCATAAATATAATCGAATAAATAATAGGTTGGTCGATCTGCCATTCATGTTGGAACAGCTACAACAATGAACCGAACCTGTCCATTTCATGATTCAATCATTTACTTCCCAATGTTCTTTTAATGTTTTAAATATTGTTTAACAACCTCCTCCTCCCACTTTCCTTCTCCGTCTTTGCCTGCAACCTTTATAACTTCTTTTTATTTCTTCAAACTGAACTTTCTTAGCAATTCAAGCCTAGAAACCTGAATGTGTGTAACCTATTTTTATGAGACAACTCAAATTCTATGTGCAAGGCCACATCTCAAGTTCTAAGTACACGATTGATTTAACACGAACCAAAATACCTAACTGGTTAAAAGAATGATTGTTATTTCTAGATATCTTGAATTCGAACACCAGCGACTGTAGTAAGGGTAATTGAGCGTCCATTGTCAAATGACAGAGTATTTAGAATAGATATTACTTTGTGATCACTTAATTGATGGTTATTCTATAATAGAATGATTTCATGAAAAATGAAAAAAATTGAATCGATTTAAACAATACAACATGAAAACTGATGGAATGAATATTGTATGTTTTCATTATAGATAAGCTTCTTCCCTTTTTAGAAGACTGAAAACATAGGACGAGTCTGTCAAACTAGACAAGCACCCTAACGATGACTGTCATTAATTTAATTTATAAAAATTTAAAATGACTTAACATATAATTATAAATTAGTTAAAATTTAAAAGTAAATTATTTAAAATAAATTATTAATTACATTATTTTTCATATTTTTTTAATAATAATTGGATCAGACAACAACCCCCTAAATTAAAAAAACCTAAATATTTGTCTTATTTTTTAGATTTTTAATTAATTTATAATTATACGTTTACTCCTTTAGAATTTTAAAATTTTATAAATTAAATTAATGGTGCTCAGGGATGCTCATCGTTAGTGATACTCAACGGTGCTCGTCGAGCGTTGTAGAATTTTACTAAAACATATTATTGTAATTAAAAAACATATTATTGATTATATTATTGAATCAAATGTTAAAGAGCGTTCACTGATTGATAATCTATAAAAGAATTATGTTATATATGATTTAAATTTTAATTGATAATTAAATTGAATTTTATTATAATTTTAATGGTTGAAAATTATTTAGGATTAATTTTATTTAGGTAAGAATTATTATGGAATATTGATTTTTTTCTCATTTTGATCAAGCTAAGGTGATTACAAAGTAGTATATGTTATAAAGACTCTCAACAATTTAACAATGAGCACTCAATCATCCCTACTACAATCGCTTGTGCTCGAACTCGAAACCTCCATAAATAATAACATATTAACTTAAAAATAATAGGTTTTGTTATTATATTTCATAGGAATGTTGAAAAAAAATTATGGGATACGTCATATAAAATTACCCTATTAAATTTTGTTTCTTAGATGTGATCTATTTTAAGTGAATCTTGAATTATTTTTTTAGTTACAAATACCTGATAATTTTGATTAGGTATAAATAGGTTAATCATGGGTGGATCAAAGCTATTCTTTTTAGCATTACCGTCCGAGAGATCAAACTCTGAAACCCAAATCTACTTCCATCTCTACAAGAAATGTGGACCACTAGACATCTCGGTTGACATTGTTACCTAATGCAGGGGATCTAATCTATACACAGGAGTGTTTAAATGTCGAACACATCTCTGAAAATAGCTTCAATTCAAAATTATACAGAGTTCGATATATATTAATTGGCCAAATGATCAAATATGTTTATGTTGTCCCAATTTCGACGCGTGATACTTCTATTAAGAGAGATGACCAAGTGTCTGGAGGCACAATTCTGACAAGGAAAAACATGTTGAGCAAGATAAAACCATTATTAGAAGATGCCAGTATACAAAGGATAATAAGCTCAGTGTGCTTCTCATGGGATTACAGGAAGTTCTAGCAAACATGAGGCCTTAAATTATACAAAGAATGAGCACATTCATAATCACTCTATGAGTCAAGCTGAGCATACCAGATACCAGTGATCTTCACATCCTTTGGAGTCTTGGCTCCCAAGTCAGTGTCCGATGGCTGAAGGCTCTCAAACACACCGATCACTTCACCCGTCTCCGGCTTGCTTTTCGTAACTGATGGGAAAATTGCTGCTTTTCACAATGTTTGCAGACATCATGCCTATCTTTTTGTGTCTGGAAGTGGGAAAACCTCTTGTTTTACTTGCCCTTACCATGGATGGACGTATGGGTTAAATGGAGCACTTTGTAAGGCGACTAGGATTTCGGGAATACAGGACTTCGCTGTAAATGAATTCGGGCTTGTACCAATAAAGTTGCTACTTGGGGACCATTTGTTCTTCTGAATATGGATAAGGAGATTGCTACCGACAGCATTGCAAGTGACTGGCTTGGTAGCTCCTCCGAAATATTCAGCCTCAATAGAGTTGATTCCCCATTAAATTATGTTTGTCGTCGTGAGTACATCATTGAATGTAACTGGAAGGTATTCTGTGATAACTATTTGGATGGTGGTTACCATGTGCCATATGCACACAAAGGCCTCGCTTCTGGTCTTTCACTTGACTCATATACCACTTCAATATTCGAAAAGGTTAGCACCCAAAGTGTTGAAGGTGGTTCTAAAGAAGGAGAAGATGACCGGCTGCCAGATTAGTGTCCATCCAAGGTCCATACCTGTTAATCATGAAATTTGGATAAACGAAAGCATAAAATGCTTTCGATCCAAGCCGGTCATCTTCCCCTTCTTCAGAGCCACCTTCAACACTTTGGATGCTAACCTTTTCGAATATTGAGGTGATATATGAGTCAAGTGAAAGACCAGAAGCGAGGCCTTTGTGTGCATATGGCACATGGTAACCACCATCCAAATAGTTATCACAGAATACATTCTAGTTACATTCAATGATGTACTCACGACGACAAACATAACTTAATGGGGAATCAACTCCATTGAGGCTTAATATTTCGGAGGAGCTACTAAGCCAGTCACTTGCAATGCTGTGTCGGTAGCAATCTCCGTATGCTCTACGAGTCTGGTAATTGGAATGAGTACAATCTAAATCCCTTAACGAGGATCCATTGGAGGGCAAGTCTGGTGCCAGCAGCCGCGGTAATTCCAGCTCCAATAGCGTATATTTAAGTTGTTGCAGTTAAAAAGCTCGTAGTTGGACCTAGGGGTGGGTCGGCCGGTCCGCCTCGCGGTGAGCACCGGTCTGCTCGTCCCTACTGCCGGCGATGCGCTCCTGGCCTTAATTGGCCGGGTCGTTCCTCCGGCGCTGTTACTTTGAAGAAATTAGAGTGCTCAAAGCAGGCCTACGCTTGTATACATTAGCATGGGATAACATCACAGGATTTCGATCCTATTGTGTTGGCCTTCGGGATCGGAGTAATGATTAACAGGGACAGTCGGAGGCATTCGTATTTCATAGTCAGAGGTGAAATTCTTGGATTTATGAA